GGGTTCGAGCACCTCTATGCCCCCAGCGGCTCCTTCCAGCCGGCCCCATGCAGGATCAGGTCAGGTCGCGGCAGTACCTAGTCCCTGCATGTCCTTTGCACCCCGAGTCCCCCCTTCGCATGCCGGGAATCAAGAGGACATTCCGTTTTCCACCCCGGCATCACCTCGTTGGCTGAATCCTGCCGGGGGCTGAGCCCCTTCTGGGGGTGCCCGGGACAGAACCAGAGGGAGCTCAGCATCTCCTAGGGGCCCCATCCATCACCGGGGCATTTCCACGCGGAGTTGGGCTGGGTGGGAAGGAGCTTGTGTCCCCTTCCCCTCGCACCCCGAAAGCCCACGCAGGGCTTGCAGCCTGGCAGCAGGAGGGCAGCACGGGCTCCTGCCTTGCTCTACAGGTTGGCCCCAGGTCCCAGCTCTGGGTGCCGGCTGGGAGCCCGATGCCACCAGCGCCGGGTGAGGCGGCGAGCGGAGGCGTGGGGCTGGCAGATGATGGTTCTCTCCCAGGGCCGGCGGTTCGTAGCGCTTCTCTGTAAACAGCGATGAAAGGCCCCGCGCACAAGGGGTTTTCAAGTTTCTTTATCCCTTTTTTTTTTTTAAACCTTCCTAGCCCTGCCGGTGAGTTTAATGGCTAGATCGGGGAAAGAACATGTTGTCAGCAGATTGTTGCCCCCAGGGCTCGGGGGAAGAGGGATTTTACGGGCTGAAGCTAATTGGCAGAATAAGCTGCCCTAAAGCCGATCAAATCCCATTACAAATGCAGTCAGGGACAGGGAGCATGAATCCTGCTACTAATGGTCTGCTCTGCCAAGGCTTCCCAACCTCAGGTGCCGGCAGAAAGTCCATCCCTGCTGTGGTCCTCCAGGGCTTGGCCTTCCCAGGGTGGAGGCTGCTAGAGTTGCCCAATGGCTCGTGCCCTGACGCCCAGCCTCTCACCAGCGTGCTGATGCGGGGGGGCATTTGAGGGCCAAAAGCGGGGACTGTGGTGGTCCTGGTTTCTGTGCCGTAAGGTCTCTGCAGCTGCCACGAGCACTGCATTTTGAGAGGGTGAGTCGTAAGCTGCAAGATCACATGGAGGAGCGATTAAGTCATGTATTCACATGCCCTTGAGCAGGAAGATTTACCTCGTAGCTGGCCCAGCTTCCCTTCTGGCCCAGTCCCTCAAGTCTACCTCTTCCCTGAGCCCTGCTTTGCCAGGAGCAGTGTCTCTGCATGTTGGGGGGGGAGATGGAGCCCAAGAGGAAGCCTCTGGGAAAAGAAGGAGAAAAGGAGCGAGTTATACCAGGGTCTCATTCCGTATTCACTGCATTTTCCTGGCTGCAGCTTGCAGTGACTGAACCTCGCCTGCCCTGCAGTTGATGGTGGGTGCTGGGGTGAGGAGCCCTGTTCAGGTGCCACATGTGTGTGAGGCATTTTCCTGGCACAAGCTGCAAGACCTGTCCCCTGGTGCTGGAGTGGGCTGGATGCTTTGTGCCAGGTGACTCAGCACTCCCCAGCCGGTCCCCCACCACAGAGCCTAATTCACCAGTGTTTCCCAGGGCACTGCCTCGGCTGGGGCCAAGGCACCCAACTCTGATCCCTGAAGGCAGGATCCCTGCACAGCATCGCACTGCCAGAAAGCTGGGCTTGGCATGTGGTTGAAACTGCGCAGACCATTGGGGCTTCACAGAGCGTCCTGTGAAAGGAGAGGTACAAAACCACGTGAAACGGGTAGGGTACAGTTTAGTGAGGCCCCTGTCCTTAGATCCTCTGTCTGCTTCTAATTTAGAGTAATTTGCCTGAATGTCCCTGTGCCTACAACTCTTGGAGGCACTGGGATGGGTGGCTAGAAGGACACATTACCATGTGGTAATTAGGATCAACCACAGTGTTTTTCAACCAAGGGAGATGGTGTTCTTGCATTTTGTTGCTGTCTGGTCCTCGGAAGCCATGGAGGCTTTGAGCTGCGTTTGCAGAGGGGCTAGACAATCACAGCCCTGGTCTGTATCTGCATCTGCTCTGGGGCATTCCTGCCTCAGGGCTAGGGATGGCTGAGAGGGTGTTATTCACCTCCCCAGTGGGTGCAGGTCTCAGTGCAAAATTTTACTGGTCTCAGACTTTTGTTAACACACCAGGTTGCAAATAGTAGTGGGAAGGCATCCTTGTCAAGCACCAGGCAAGGAGCAGAAGTGTCTTTGAGGGCTCGTGGCACACGTTGCTCTTCTCCTCCTCCTGCCAATGGAAACTTTGTCAGACAGTTTGAGCACTGGGGGAGGGAGCCAGCCACCAGCCCTTCGTGTGGCGCTTACTTTGACCATCAGTGTGCCTGGAAACCTCAGCAAAACAGGTGTCTGCTTGAGTAAAACAGAATTAGGGGGACAAGGCAGAGCACTGTCCTGCTGTAATGCCAAGGGTTGCCCAAGGAGGGTTGTCCAACCCCATCCATATACGTGAGCACATCCAAAAGGACACCTCCTGCCATGCAGGAGCTGCCATGGCCCCGACTGCGTCTGTCAGACCAGGAGTTTCCTTGCTCTGCCCTGCTGCCATCCTCCCTGCCCACCCGCGCCGGCGGCTGCGTCAGCCCCGTGGCCAGGCGCAGGAGTGCTGCAAGGCAGATGTTTTGACATTTCGACAAGCGGAGGTGAGGACATGTGGCTCTGCCTTTCCTCCAGGCTGCACGGAGACATACGGGAACTGGCTGTCCCCTGTCACTGAGCCAGTCGCGTTGCGCGAGGAGATGGAGCGGCCGGCAAGCGTTCACAGTGCATTGGGGATCGCTGTGGTTTGCAGTGTGACGTTTCCATTGGCAGCTGTGGGGGACATACACATGTCACCTTAATTCCTCTCCTCTCCACTGGCTCTTGGACTCTTCCCTTCTTGATTTGAAGTAGGGCTACTAGGAATAGAAACTGGGAAGGAGGCATAGACTTGCATAGGATGGCATGAGGGTCACACTCCTGACCAGCGAGAGCTGATTTGTCTCTGTGTGTGCACAGACACCCAGCAAAAGCATATTTTCTCCAGCAAAAGCTGGCTTGCTTATGCTAAGATGGCTTAGTATGGTTTAGTAGTCCAGGATTAGCTGCATTAGCAAAAAGCATATTTTTGGTAGTGTCACTGGCAGCAAGAGAGAGCAGTCGGGATTGCTTTCCCCTGCCCTGAGCTGGGCTGTGGGCAGACTCGTGTCCCTCTTTGTGCCCCACAGAAGCAGGGCCGGCACCAGATTTCGGCTCTGGCCAGCTTTCGGGTGGGCGCAGCGGTGACCCCCTGTGCCTCCTGCAGCTGCTGGATGCTGCGGAGCTGCCTGCTCAGCTGCGTTCCGAAGGCACACCACAGCACGACAGCCAGGCGAGCCCTCGCTGCTGCCGCTCCGGTGGGGCAGCGCATCCTGACAGCGTTGCTTAAGATTCCTTAAGCACCATTACAAAGCGCAGCGCGATCAGGCAGGAAACAAGATGATGTACCAATACCTAACGTGCGGCGGCAGGCAGACACATCCCGGCCCCTGAAAGCTGGGGGACATGCGAACAGTTTTAAAGTGATCGTGAAAGCAAGTTTTTTGGGAGTTTTAAAAGAGGAGCACCTGATAAATTGACTGCAATGTGTCAATTTAATGCTTTTTTTCCACCTTCAAGTACCCGTGGCAGGTTCTGCCCCCCTGGGCGCTGGAGGGAGACATGTATTGGTGGTGCCTGATTGCACCTCGGAGCTGCGAGGCTCCAGCTGGGACATGTCAACAGCGGCAGCTCCTGCTGCGAGACCCGTTCTGGCACCGGAGCAGGTGACATGCTGGCATGGCAGACGTCGAGGGGGCTGTGCCGGGTGCGGGATTGCTCGGCATCCTCTCCTGCATATGGCTGTGTCGTTCCGGGGACAATCTTGTGAATGAGCTGCCCAGAGCAGCAGCAGGTGGTTAGAATTTCCCAGGTGACCATGTGGGCCTAATTTAATTAGAGGGTTTAGGAAAATGCCTTTAGAAAAAGGGAGGGGTGGGAAAGGTTTAGAGAGGTCAGATTTGAGAGGCAGTGGGAGAAGCTCCTGCTAAGTGGATCGTGTCCAGAGGAGGACGCAAGCTCTCCTTGCCTGGCTTGGAACAGGGAGATGGAGCATCTTTAAATGGGAGCTCGTGCCAGAGGCTGGGGGGAACAGGGGGAACAGCGCGGGAGCGGGTTGTGGCAGCTCTTGGGCTGAGGGCAGAGGAGTTTGCATAAGGCTTTTATTTCCCAGGATCTGTGCAGGGCAGATGGCTGGGTTCCTGGCAAGCCAGGAGTGTATGCTGCCTGCTTGGTGGTTTTAGGACCTCTTTTCTCTGAAATACTTTTATTGTAAATGCCTTGTTCCCCAAAAATGCTGTTTGGTCACTGTCATCTTCGTCAGAGGATGCCTGGCAAGTGGCAGGCAGAGCAGCTGAGGTATTTGGGGTTAAGAGGCAGCTCCAGGAGCTGGCAGCAGAGGAGGCCCAGGAGCGGGATGGGCAGGAACTGGGCAGGGGAAGGCAGGGAGCGGCTCCCATGCTTTGGGGATAAGCAGTATGTCTCCAAAAGGAGCTGGGGAGGATGTGGAGCACCCCACGCCTGCTAGTCCTGATCACTGGCAGCAAGGTCCCCATGTTGTCTGGGGACCCTGCAGTGAGCAAAGGTGCCAGGTGAGTCGTGTCGTCTTAGCAGTGTGGCTGAGAGGAGATCCCTGAGCCCTTCATGTTTTTCCTTTCAGCAGTGCTGCATCCTCCTCCTTTAGTATCTCTGAAACCCAGCTGTGCCCCTACTCCCACAGAGCACCAGAGAGATGCCGCAGCAATGTCTCTCTCACTTTGTTCCTCTGCTCCAGGTGCGAGAGCACAGAGGAATATGATTACGATTACCTCAGCATCAATAAAACCTGGGTCCTCACCCCCAAGGCACAGGAGACTGATGCCACGCAGATCCTCAACTCGCTGTTGAAGAACTATGACAACAAGCTGAGGCCTGACATTGGCAGTAAGTGTCCCATAAAGCTCCCTGTGGCTACAGGTGGTGACCTGGCCCAGCTGCAGCTTGTGTTTTCCATGCTTTTGTGGCTGCTGTAGTTGGGATTTTTGGTGAGATGGAGCCATGCTGATCCCAGATGTTCCCCTGGTCCTCAGCCCTTCACAAATGATCCTAGCCCCAGCTCATCTGTACCTATTTTATTTTCTTTACAGTCAAGCCCACGTTTATCGATGTGGATATTTACGTGAACAGCATCGGGCCGGTGTCTGTCATCCAGATGGTGAGTAGTGTCGCTGCTGCAGTGTCATGGTATCACCGCAACTGAGAGTGTCGGAGGTAGATGGCCCAGCACTGCTGTCAGGTTGTGTTGTGCTATCTAGACATGGTGTTAAGGTGGTGGTGGTGTCATGAGAAGAGTATGTTTCCCTTCCCTTGGGAAGAGGTGCTCTGACCTGCTGATAGCTGGAGCTAGAAAGGCTTGACAGACATCCCTAGTTAGCAGCAAGGTCTCAAGTGTCCTTGGTGAGCTCAGCAACTCTATCATGCTTACAAGCTGAGGGAGAAGGATGATGATGCTCCTTGGTCTCCACTGGCAATGTGTGGACAGACAGCTTTGCCTGGTGGCTTTGCCCTCTCCTGCCTGGGAAGCATGCGGGCATCAGGATGCTCGGGGCAAGCTGCACCACCCTGGTTGAGCCAGTGCAGTCGTGGCTGGGAGGGGAGGAGTGCGCTTCCCAGGAGGACTGAAATAGGTACCTGGAGATGGTTTTCATGGCAACGGTCTGATGGTGTGAAACTTGGGTGCTCAGGCCTGGCCTGTGGTGCTGAGGAGGGGCAGGCGGGGTGACTTGGGTCTGACAGCTCTTCTTCAGTACGTAGCACCTTAGACTGATGCCACCAGAACTGCAGCAGTCTCTGCTCATGGCTCAGGACCCCGCTGTACTGGGAGCTGCAGAAACACTCAACAGAGATGCCCTTTGGTCTGAAGACCCTCCAGCCCACGCACTGCACAGCAACTGTTGATTATTTTTCACAGGAAGCTTCCATTATTATTTTCCCTGTGAAGTATTTTTTTCCTCATTTCTAGCAAGAAACAAACCTGACTGCTGTCAGGTTTCGAAAGACTTGTTTGGCCCACTGGGCAGTGGGATGGAGAGGACAAAGGAGAGGTACAGTCAGGACAATTTGGCTTTTCTTGTTTCTCTCAATGCAAAACAGAGCAGAAAGAAAGCCAGCCTCCTTAAAGCGAAAAAAGAAAGTTCTCAGGATGGACATGTTATTTTTAGTTTCCCAAGTAGAACATTTCCATTGAACAAACCCCTCTGGGGATGGAGGAATGGCATTGTAGTTGTCGTACCACTTCCACTCCAAAAACCGTTTTGAAGCAGCCCTTCTGACCGGCCACTGCCGAGCTTGTGCCTCCAAGCAGTGCCTGTGCACAAGCCACCAGATGGGCACCTGGCTGGGTGCTTGCTTGCGTGATGAGGGCACCATCAGAAGGCCCAGCAGGGACGGCTTCAAGGCAAAAAACTTGCTTTCATTGTTTCTGCGGGCCTGGTCTCCAGTAGAAGAACCACAGCCCAAGCCATGTGGATGTCATCCCTGGCTGCCAGTAGATACCATAAGTTCCTCCATCCCATGTGGGTGTGTGGACATGACACCACAGTGATATAAGAGCAGCAGTGCAGGGGCTGGGTGTACTCATCTCCCCAGC